AGAATAAAAATTGAGATAAAGTTTTGGTCTTAAACTAGTGTGCATAACTGTAACATAGATTTTGAATTTTTGATGATTTTTGTAACTGCGCATATTATTACGGGAAAGCCATTTTAGCCTCTTATTAAAACCTTTCCTAGGAAAAGATATTATGGTTGCAGATTCCTCAATAAGACATGAGAGGGTGAAGAAAGGAACAAAACTGAAGATGACGACGTTAAGCAAGAAGAAACACAACCAGAGAAAAATTTACGATTGCAATTCGATCTGCCTACAAAGCAGACCAAGTGCTGACCACACGTCGGTTTGCGTTTTACAAGGATGCATCATGCATGTTCTTCTCTTCCCAAGTACAGGTGCCTGTTAAAGCTCCAAAAACATGGCGACTTTTCGCAGATCAATCATGGAGCCTACAACAAACCAGATTTTTCTTGCGCAAAAGAGTTTTGCGCAAAAGACTGCCAGAAGCTGAAGTGATTCTATTCCAGACAGTAGCAGAAGCGATCGTCAATATGATAAGCATTATATATTCAACACAAGGTGGTTGGGGAGATAAGGTTAGGCTTCAGCTTCACAGCAGCATTTTCCACCAGGAAATGCCATCGATAGATAGAGTTGAGAGCCTACAGGGCGAAAGGAATGTTAGAAGAATAGAAGCTCTCGGTCAAACAGGTTCATCCAACTCTGCTAACATATCAAAAAATCCCAAAGCTGTGGCATCAAAGTTTTCAACGGCTGAAATGCCAGAGGTGAGTGTAAACTATATATTTCCTGGAATGTATCTATTTTGCTATCAGATACCATAAGCTGTGGCCAAGGGCGCCTAGTTATATAAGTTGCCTGTAGTTAGCCTCGCACGTGCTTAAAACAATGTTGTAATTTAAAGGGTTTTTCTTGTGATTTACAAAACCATGGTTAACAAGGCCATTTAACCCATGGTGATTGAAATGACTGTAATGTCCATGATATCTGATATGTTTCTAATCCCAACTTTTTCAAAAGTTCTTCGATGCTGGCATGTTAGCTTATTGCAAGCTGTCTCACAAGTGGCAATGCTTGCAATTTCATGAGCAAGATAAGCGTTTGGTTTTATTGTAGAAAAAGACACAAATCCCCTGAGAAATCAGATTAAGATACGCACTCTTTTTCACGCAAAGATAAGGCCCGAACCCAGATAGTATTGTTCTTGATTCTTTATTTGGTCTATAAAAGAGGAGTGTGATCAGTGCAATCTCCAACTTAGAAAGAAAACAAAGAAATCAGAAATCAGAGCAATCAGATCATTTCTCTTGTTCAAAAAAACATGCAGGCTCCAACGGCTCCCACCTACAATGAAAAGATGTTAGCAAACTATGTGCCGGTCTATGTAATGCTCGCAGTAAGTTTCAAAATGTCTTTCTGCCCTTGCATGTCAAGCAGAGATTATCATCTACTAATTACTCTGTTACTTTTTTTTTGCATTGTATTAGTTGGGAGTTGTTTCGAATGATAATGCCTTTGAAGATAAGACTGGGATGGAAAAACAGCTCAAGGAGCTGAGAATAGCAGGCGTTGATGGGGTAATGGTAGATGTCTGGTGGGGGATTGTGGAATCAAAGGGCCCTAAACAGTACGATTGGAGTGCTTACAGGAGCTTGTTCGCACTTGTTCAAGAATGCGGATTAAAACTACAAGCCATAATGTCATTCCATCAATGTGGTGGCAATGTAGGAGATGAAGTTACCATCCCACTTCCCCAGTGGGTACTTGAAATCGGAGAAACAGACCCTGACATCTTCTATACCAATAGGAAAGGTAACAGAAACAAGGAGTACTTAACTATTGGAGTGGATATTCAGCCTCTTTTTGATGGAAGAACTGCTGTCCAGGTTGGTTTCAGGAGCCCTTTTCTAAAGTCTTTGTTATAACAATATTTTGGGATAATCAAAACAAATAAAATTAGTTCCTACTGCTGAAGATCATTATTTTTCTCTGGAAGAAACAAGTTAAAACAAATCTCTTCGTAGCTACTTGTGAATGACACTGTTTTTGACATTCATTTCTCCGTCCTACATCCTAGTCTGGCTTTCTATATATCAGTTCTTGTATTGTTTTAATTGTACAGAGCAACTCTGCCTATTCCTTTGCACTCTTTGGCTACTGAAATTGTTTATTCATGCCATAAAGCAGAGGAAGGAATGTTGCATTTTTGTTGCACCTCTGGCCTTACTGGTAGCATGTTTTGCTGGCTTGTGAAGCTGTAATATGTCTCAGCTTTTAAAACAAATAGGATTTCAGGCAGCCTATATTTTATCCCCAAACCAGTTGAACCGAGAACATTTTTACCAAGATGATTCCATGATTTCAAGATGTGCTAATATTCTCAGTTAAAGACCTACGAATCCTAAATAGTATCACTCTATGAATGCAGAATCCAATTTCAAGAGATTCTAATTACTAGATTCTGGTCTGATCTATCAATTTCAACTGTTAAATTTAGTTATCTTTTATTTTAAGCAATATTGATCTCTAATCTTCTGTGGGAAAATGTTTTCCTATACTTCATTGATGCTTCAGACAGATTGTTGATTTATGTAGATGTACAGAGACTACATGAAGAGCTTCAGGGAGCACATGTCAGATTTTCTAGAAGCAGGACTCATAGTAGACATTGAAGTAGGCCTTGGTCCTGCGGGGGAGCTAAGATATCCCTCTTATCCAGAAAGTCAAGGATGGGTTTTCCCTGGTATTGGAGAATTTCAGGTGAATAGTCATTTATTAGTTTTTGGTATTTACTGATTTCAACAACCTCACGATCTTAAAAGCCATAAAATCTGGCCATCTGCTGAGGTACAATTCTCTTAAATAGTCTTGCATATTACTGCAGTGTTATGACAAGTACCTCAAAGCAGAATTTAAAGAGGCAGCAACAAATGCAGGCCATCCTGAATGGGAATTGCCTGATAACGCAGGGGTATACAATGACACACCTGGATCCACAGAGTTCTTTGGATTGAATGGGACATATCTTACTGAGAATGGGAAGTTTTTCTTGACCTGGTATTCCAGCAAGTTGCTCAACCATGGTGATGAGATCCTTGATGAAGCTAATAAAGCTTTCTTGGGCTGTAAAGTGAAGTTAGCAGCAAAAGTATATATCTCACAACCTAAAAACATTTTTATCTAACGATGGATATATCTGTCAGTCTAGTCATTTTCTTTTAATTTTCTAATCAGGTAGCTGGGATACACTGGTGGTATAAATCTGATAGTCATGCTGCAGAACTTACTTCAGGATATTACAATTTGAAAGATAGAGATGGATATCGACCCATTGCAAGGATGCTGTCAAGACATTACGCTATATTCAATTTTACATGTCTCGAGATGAGGAACTCAGAACAAAGAGCTGATGCCAAATGTGGGCCTCAGGAACTTGTTCAACAGGTAAATACTTGGAAGATTAATTGGAAATAATCCTATTCAAGACCTAAAATCTGAATTGATTGCTACAGACTCCTAGGGAAAAACTACCTATGCAACATAGAGATAGAAATATATTTTCTTGCAAGAAAATGATAATTTCCCTATTCAAACCAATGGGATATAGGGTAAGCATTTTCTTTATCAAATGTTTTTGTCAGATACTTGCCACCAGGAACAAGAGCGCTTATCGTAATGAAACGTTAGCCTGCAGTCTTTTTGTCGCTTAATATAAAATTATGTATTACCACCCTCACATTGGCATTAGAAGGGAGATAAAACTCATCCATGGCACATCTGTTAGCAGGTTCTGAGTGGGGGTTGGAGAGAGCACCTTGAAGTTGCAGGAGAGAATGCATTATCAAGGTATGACAGTAAAGGGTATAATCAGATCCTGTTAAACGCCAGGCCAAATGGTATCAACAGAGAGGGTCTGCCAAAGCTGATGCTGTATGGGGTCACATATCTCCGTTTATCAGATGATCTATTGAAAGAAAGGAACTTCAACATATTTAAGACGTTTGTGAAGAAAATGCACGCTGATCAAGTAAGCAACAATATTCATATAGATACTTCTCAAACAACAATCCATCAGAAGGATGGGAATGGAACATATATAATTTAACAAGTTGTTTTTTCTTTTCAGGATTACTGTCCAGACCTCGGAATATACAATCACCAAATAGATCCATTGAAGCGGTCGAAGCCAAAGTTTCTGATGGAGGATCTTCTGGAAGCAACCAAGCCAATGGAGCCATTCCCTTGGGGTAAGCAGACAGACATGAAGATTGATGGTTTTGATGATGTGCTTACTACTTTTATCAGAAAGTTGTTTTCCATGTTCAAGTGAGACCTGGGTTTCATGGGGAGAAAACATAAATAGCTAAAGCGTCAAAATAAGTGGAAATGCATTCCAAATAAACGTCCACCTTCCATTGTTGGAATCATTTCATATCAACCTTTTGAATGATAATACCATCGGCATACATTGCCAGGAATCCGGATGAAGGCTAGGGATGAGCAAAAGTAAGCTAGCTAAAATTGAACGTAATCGATTTAATCGAAAAAATTTGATTTATTCGATTAAAATGCTTGGTTAAGTCAGTTTTAATTTAGTTAATTAGGTTCAATTAATTTAATTAAAATGATTAATCTATAATAATTTTTTTTTTAAAAAAATTCCTATGTATCTTATACTTAACCGATATTATATATCTTGAATATAGAAGAACAAGATATTTATACACCATTTTTGAGAGAAAAAAACTTCATTAATTAGCTAGTAATATAAACGATAAGAAAATTTATGTCATAAAATTAGATTGAACCCCAGCAACGCATCAAAACTAAAATCTTTAACGATGGAGATGCGGGGTATCGATCCCCGTACCTCTCGCATGCTAAGCGAGCGCTCTACCATCTGAGCTTCATCCCCACTGCTTATACTGCAAGTTTGGAAGCTTTTCTGGGGAAACGCACATTGGCGGTTGGAGTTACTTCGTTTGCCGCTGAGGAATCATTCACTCATGAAAGACACTTGCTGGAGGGAATCAGAAGGTGGGAATCCAACTCAAAGTTATCTGATGAAATGTTTGGAGTTTTCTTGAGTTGGGGGTCCCATTTGCTTTATTCATCGGTTTTCTTGCTCTGGTGAGTTTTAATACTTGACCCTTGTGCAAAATGACAAGTAATATTTGAAGTACGTGGCTCGGTGCATTTAACAATGTTCTCTTTTTTGTTGGTTTGTGTTTATTTTCTGTTCTACGTGAATTTTCTTTTTTCTGTCTGTTTCATGATAATTTCTGTTTCCTGCTTGCTTGCTTCAATAATTTCCTTTTAATTTTTTTCTGACATATGGTATTTACCTGTGCAATGAGCCTCCAAATGCATTCCAAGATTTTAATAAGTGAGGTTAAAATTGCTCTTTGAAGACGGAAGGGGGGGGGGGGGGCGGGTTGGGGGTTGGGGGAGTTTAAAGAACTGTCTCATTTTCATGGAAAAAGAAAGATGATTGTGTTGTATGGTGATGGTCATAATTAGATCCTGGTTTTCTAATATCCTAGTCATTGGGAAACTGGGTTTGCTCCAGTTCTGTTTTTCGTCCTTTTACTGGAAGGTTGAAGCACATACTAATGAAATATCTGTTCTTTAACTCAATATGGTGAACAAAAAATCTCTACTTTTTTCTTTGATGAGTGATTTATGTAGAATTAAGCCAATAATAACATCTTGACTCTATATCTTTAACAAGTGAGTTGGTCTTCTTTTTCCTCCTATGATAGAGAACTTTATCGAGAATACTTTTGTGAAAATTCAGTAAACAGATGGTTTCTAATCAGCGAATTAATCTCAACTAGGAGCTTGGGTAGTTGGATTGTTCGCACTACTAAATACTATTTACCTGTCTAGCATCAAGCATTCTATTGGATTAGTAACCAGATTTTCTAAAGAGAATGTCTGTTATTGGAAGAAGGTTATATCTGAGTCAATGAAATATGTGAAATGAAATTCTAGAACAGTAGACTCTTGAAACTTAAGCATGTGTACCGATTACAAGGAGTTCCAGTTGGAATTGGAACCCAAACACGATAGGGCTCGCAATTCATCTAGCTATTCCTGCACATAATTATTCTGCGTCCGATGGTGGGTTAGCTTGATGTTGATTCTTTGACCTTTTTTTGGTTAAACTCCAGACTGTATCTGATATGTTAATATCTATATCACTTATATGTAAATCTCTAAAATTCCTATGAGGCAATTACCGTTTGTGGCTTTACAGAGTTATGTCTTGCCTCCAGTCTCTTGGTACTGTCCACCGACTCCCTTGGATTCGTAAATGGTACTTGCTTCGTGAAGAATGAATCAATTTTAGAATTTGTACGGACTTCATTACGGAAATGCCACGCGGAGAACGTCAATCAGTTGGTTGTGGCCGGCAGACGTGCTTGCCGCCTTTTTCTCGGACAACTTCCATTAAAGCCGTAAACCATTCTAACGATGATACTTTTATGTTTCTATTAATTAGTTTCTAATTTTAGGTTTACAGCAATTAATTTTATGCTTGTCAGAATTAAGTTCAAGAATATCTACAATTTTCTCCACACCCTTATTCAGGCCAAAGAAAATCCCTTAGTGATTATGATTGAGGGAATTTTCGCCAATTGGCATATTACCATAACTCTTTTACCTTCTTGCATGGCCTGAAAATTTAATGCATAGTCTTCCCTTCTTATCCTATAAACTCACTCCATTCCTTTGAGTAGCCTACAACAGGTTCTCTTCCTTCTTTACTTTCTTATCCAATTTCCCTTGATCATGGGTCGCAAGAGGCTCCTGATGAAGAGAATTGATAATCCTTGCTCTCGCCAGATAACGTATTCAAAACGCAGGGAAGGCATTCTCAAGAAGGCCACTGAATTATCTGCGTTATGTGATACAGATGTTGGCCTTCTGATGTTTTCTCCTACCGGTCGATTGACCAGCTATGCTCACAAGGGAAGGTGGATGAAGAGTATCTAATTGATAATAATGTTCTTTATGTTCTTGTTTCCATTATCTTGTTCTCTTAAGTTTTTTATGCATCTTGTTTTATAATTTTTGTTATGCCTTTTATAGGATTGAGGATATCTTTCTTCGTTATATTGACCAACCTGATGATTTCAAAGGGTGTGTTTTGGTCATCTTTGCTATTTTTGTTTCATAAAGATTTCACAAATAGCCAAGCTGAGGGTTTACTGATAAGTTTGTATCTGTCCTTGTCTGTGTTTCCAACCCTGTTTTATCCCCAAAATGTTCTCCATATATCAGACCTGTTGACAATGAAGAGGTAGGCTATCTCTCTCTCTCATCTCACCTTTGCCCTTTTCTGAGATTGATTTTATCTTCTTACTCTGCTGTCTCTTACCTTTGCTTACAGTTCTTGTACCAAAGCCTGAAGCATTTGAAATATGAAGGAGAAATGTTGGATAAAATAGGAAGGTGTTATTTCCTCTCTCTCTCTCTCACTCCAAACATGCAGATCTGTGTGCTTACACACACAGGCACAAGCAGTTATGGTTTATCGTATTTCCTTTCTTTCTCACAAGCATTCTTTTTCTTTTGTCCTATGAATGATTCATCGGCTGTTAATGCAATGATGTATTCAGCATGGAGGTAAACAAACTCTCAATAACTTGCTGTTTGCTGCTCCCTAATGATGGTAGTTCCCATAACTTTCTAGTTTTCCTTTCTCTTTTGACTTCCTAGGCTCTGGAGAGAAAACTTCGTGATCTCAATCGGCAAAAATATGAAGTGCAGGACAAGCTGAGGTCACTTTTTTTTTTCATTTTCCAATTTCTGTTTTCTGCATGATTGCTATCAATTTTTGATGAGTTGTAGCAGGAAATTTCAACTGTTGCTTGAGACAACTTGGGATAGTTTGATAACATATGTTATTCTTGCTTTTCCTATTATTAAACTTAAAAAAAAAAAAAAACAGATCTTATAATCCAGATATGACAAAGATCCTCTCGATTCCTGAAGCTCATCTCCACCAGCAATTTGTTATGGATGCAATTCGACGAATAGAAAAGTTGAAAGTGAGTAAATTTTCCCTAGTTAATTTGCACCTGATCTGATAGAGGTTAATATCAACAATATTTCTTCTCCTCAGAAGGCAAAGCTGCTTGACAAAGAGATTTCACCTTCAAAGCTCAACAGTGTTGAGGTAACGTAAAGAAAATGGGGGAGAAACAGGAAGGACTGTTTAGCATAAAAGCATTCTCCATTTATGGTAAACAGCTATTATTGTTACATGCATTAATTCCTTCCATGTTTAATGAATAGATACCTATAATTGAGGTGAAGGACTCAGATTTGACAACTGAAGAATCCGTAAATTCTAAAAGAAACAGGTAAAGATTTTGACTCTTGCATATGGTTGTGTGTACTTCAAAATCATATTTGGATTTCTCAGCCTAATATCTTATAAACTTGTATGAAGAATCAAGGGATCTTCTTCGTCTAGGCAAAATTTTGGTTGCTGAGTTTTGCTGTTGTATTCGTATAGGGATCAATCAGCTGATGATCAGAAAGAGGAAACTCAGCTACCCACAGGACCGCATCTAAGCATTAGCTACCTCAAAACCCAGAAGAATTGGAACCTTCAAAATGCAGAGGACGTTACATCAAGTGAAGGTCACATGTGTTAGAGGTGTAAGTTGTCAATGAGAAGCACGGAAGTGTTGTGGACTGGATACAGACTTCAATAGATCTAGCAGCTTGTATGGTTTTCATAAAAGCAATTCATGCTGTCAGCATCTTGTGCTTCGCCAAGCAGTTGTTACCATCCTCTGATGTGGTGAGGTCTAAGGTTTAAAATTCCCTTTCTCCTTCCTTAAGACTTGTTGAAATGTACAAAAAATAAACAGGATGTTGGTTCTAGGGTTTGCCAGTAGCTCTAGCAATCGTGTGATGTAATGCTTGTCTGAAGTCTGAAAGTTTGAAAATGCCTAGTTTTGTGGTTACTATGAATATGGTTTGCTATACATTGTCTGTTACAATAGCAAGCAATTGCCAGTCTGTCGAAAGATAACATTAATTGTTCTATTAGGCCGTTTTCCAAAGATGGCTTTGGTCCAGTCCCACCCAAATGTTGGTCGTGCTGGCTCGCCTCAGCTAACATTAATTTCATTTTTGTTATCATTAATTGAAATATGCTAAAACATGCAAGTTATGTGTTGAATTTTGAGAGTCACTTTCATTATCATATTTATGATAATTATTTCATTTTTCAAACACATTATTACAGTCATAAATTTGATTATATTAACAGCAATGTTTAAAATTTACAATAAAAAACAAACTTATAAAAAGTAATGAAATTTTTGACAAATTTCTTTTTTGAGGGATTGACGAGAACCAATATTAAATGTTAAATATTATTCTTTTTTGTGGAAAGTTGACTCTCGGATTACTCAATTGGTGCAGCGCTTAAGCGCTCAAACTAAGACATTAAATCAGCATTAAATATATCTTAGTCAAAGTAAAAACGAGGCATCATACTTTAAAAAAACTTTTGAACTGTTTAAAAAAAATTGAAAATTTTTTTATTTTATTAGTGCGTTCAATTAAGTCTCTCTATTTTTATTTTAAATTAAGAAAGCTCTTATGATTAATAGATAATTAATTGGATTAATTAAAATATCATTTGTCATTTTTTATACCATGTGATATTGATTTGAATGATGAAAATACCATATGATTATGTCATCATGTTATATTAACATACCATGTCATCATTTAATATGACATATCACATCAATACAACATGATATAAAATGATAAATGGTATTTTAATTAATAATATTTAGTTAACCATTAATCTTAAAAATCTATTTATAAGAGTTTTATTAGATATAATAAAAAAATAAAGATTTATTTAAATTTTTTTAAAATATTATGCCTAAAAGTATAAGAGTTTAATGTTCCTTTTCATTTTCTACGGTTGAAATTTCAAATTTAATTGGAAAAATATTTCTTTATCCAAGCATCAAAGGGAAAAAAGTTTAGTTTAATATAAGACTATAATTCTGAATTTTCCATAAGGTAACGACCTGCGGAAAATTTAATTAAGAAAAAGAAAAAGATAAGATGGAGAACAGCTAAGTATAATATAAAATAAATAAATTGGGAATTAATGGGGTACCAATGCCTCATTTACCTTATTACCACCAAAAGGGCAAAAAAAAAAAGGGAAAAACGACAATACAAAGGAAACGAAGAGTCGTGAGATGCCCCACATCGTCCTCCTCACGTCTCCAAAACGAGTCAATCTCTTTCGCTTTCTTCTCTTTCCTCACCCGACAAACGAGAAACGTTCGGATGAACAAAGTTCCCAACAGAAAAGGAAAACGTAAATAATAAATAAAAAAAAAACCAAGAATTGGGTTCGTTTTCTAAGATATAATCGTCTTTTGCTTTCTTTTTCCGGTGTTTTGGTTCTGCGAAATTTGCATGTAGATATATTGCATCGAACACGTAACGCATGGTGTCCTTTTCTTTTTCTTGGTAATTAAGATTGGGAGACATTGAACAGATTGTTGTGTGGTGTCATTGCAAAGTTGATTAATGCAATTGTTCAAAGCAAAAGGTTACAAGGTAAAAGTGAGCTTTTTGGGGTTGTGGCATTTTTCTTGAAGGCTAAGGAAAAAGGAAAGGATTGTTTTCTTTTTTTGGCGTTTCCTATTGCTTTCTGTTCTTTTCGTTTTCAAAGTTTTTTTTGTATATTCGATGAAATGAGAAGAAAAACACGTGAATGGCGTAATGATTTGAGGAGCAATGGAAATGAGAAGGGCTTGTTATGCCATTTTTGCCGTGATATTGCTTTGCGCTTTGGCCATGGGGAGCTCAGAAGGTAAGAGGAGGATGCCTGAAACATTTCTTGCCAATCAAGGCTGGACAACAACATCCCTGAAGATAAATGAAGAAATGGTATGATGATTTTTCTGTCACCTGCTCTAATTTCCTGAATTCTTGGAGCTGAAATGTTGTTAATGGTTATCATTAGTAGCAAAAAATGTTTTCATTTCTTTTACCAAGGCTTTGAATGAATGCATTTCAAGATTCTAGTCTGAGTTGGTACTTTAGCGTGTTTAGCATCCTGATGAAGGGAATTGAACAAATATGCCTTGAAATTAAGGTAGAAGGAATAACTTTAAATCCTTTGCAATTCTGTTAAATTCTTGTTTTAGGGAACAAATCAGTTTGACTTCTGAGGTGGTTCAGCTCTTGAAATAGTTATGCAGGCTTCTAAGCTATGTCAAAAGGTGTCCTTATTCTATGATTTATAATATTAGTTATTGCCCTTTCTAGGGGTTTAGAAGCAGATTATAGCAAAGATTCATGTATGAAGTAGGTTTAACCTGAGTATCTTTGATGCTTAATGCAAACAAATGCAAAATGAAAAGCTGATCCGAGGTATATGTAACTGCAATTACTAATCCACAAAGTTGTTTGAAGATGAAAAAACAAGACTTGTTATAGTTTTCAATTTTGTTTGATATCGCAAGTTACTTATGTCAAATTCTTTCATATTATATAGTTCCATGTTTAGTTTCTTTTGTCGTTGCCTCCTCTTCTGCCTCTCCTTACCACCCCCAGCCTTGATGCTGGTAAAATATGGATATTTAAAGTTTCCACCTTCTTCTAAATCTAGTCAAATTTGAGGTTCGGGATTGAAAATATGACCTGATAAAAGCTTGATGAAAATTTCTAATTACAGGTAGAGGAAGCATGGATTCATTGCATGAAAGAGATGGCAGAAAAAAGAGATGCTATTAAAGATTTTGACCTGTATATGCCACAAACAACCAATGACTTGATATCAGCATTGTTGGCGAAAGGAAACATAGACAAAGCTATTGATATTTTGCCTCCTCAAGTGAGAGAAACGCTTTTTGATTGCTTAAGTAAGAAAGGACTTATCTTTCATGCTTCCAATCCAGAGGTTACCTTTAAGCACTGGTTTCGAAAGTGTCTTGAGTTTATTTTTAAATTGCCACATGCCCCTAGAAGATATCTGGTTAGTGCATCAAATCAACACATAATCTCAGGCCCTTCTCCGGCTCTAGTTCCTAAGAGAACACCAGCACCAGCACCAATATCTGCACCAGCACCTGTGGCATTTAGTTATGGTCCTGCGCCAACACCATTTAGTTATGTGCCAGCACCATCCAATCAAGCTCATGCAAGCTATCTAAGGCCACATCCGCCTGGTGGTGCTTTAGCTAATTCACTTCTCATATCAAACAAGATTTTCACTTCTTCACCACCACCAGATCTCAAACATTCTCGTTCTAACCCATCACTAGCAACACATAAAGATTTATCACCTGGTGCCCATGATAGGACTCAGCATTCACCAGAAGATAAGGACGTCATGAAGGAAACTGTTATTGCTGTTATTGTGACTGCAGCCACAACATTTGCTCTTGTTGCACTGGTCTTCTTTTGTTGTCTGAAGCGAACTAGCCGAAAAAAAGATGAAAAACCTCTTCTCTACTTGAGTGATTACTTAAGTGATTTCTCTTGTGGTATGTACTTGTTGTGTTTGTTTGTCATTGAGTTGTTATCATCTTCATTTTCTTGTTCATGTTTCCACAAGCATTTTAACTTTACGATCTTTCAGATTCTTCACAGAAGTCTATTAGTTTAGGAAGTTCCGGCGACAAAGAATATCGTACTAGCAGCCGAAAGAACCCTTCTTTGGCTGGTAGTTCGTCCATGAAGCAAGATAATCATGATGCCTCACTTGCAAAAGCACCACCATCAGAAGCAACTGAAGGTGCATCATTTCCTCCACTGAAACCTCCTCCTGGGAGATCAGCTCCTCCACCTCCTGCAGCACCACCACCTCCCCCTATTCGTCCTAATCCCCCACCGCCACCTAAAGTTGCTCGTCCTCCACCTATGCCACCAAAATCAAAACCTTCACCCCTTGGACCACATCGTCGAGGACATAGTGCTTCTGGTAGTGGAGATGAGACTGATGCTGAATCTGGAGCTCCAAAAGCCAAGTTAAAACCATTTTTCTGGGACAAGGTTATGGCTAATTCTGATCAGACGATGGTTTGGCATGAGATCAGTGCTGGATCATTCCAGTAAGACAATAATTCGAACTTTTATCAATTTAGATTTTCTCACTAACAATGTTTTGTCAAAATTTTCTTTGATTCTAATGTGTTAGTAACCTTTACAGGTTCAATGAGGAGATGATGGAGAGTTTATTTGGTTATAATTATGGAACTAATAAAAAGAATGATCAAAAGAAAGATTCACCATCAGAACCTTCAATCCAGTACATTCAGATTATTGACACCAGAAAAGCACAAAATTTGTCTATTCTTCTACGCGCACTAAATGTCACAACAGAGGAAGTTGTTGATGCTCTTCGAGAAGGTTCCTCTCTATCTCTTAAAGAAATGCTGGCAGAAGTACTCTATCATGCTAGTAACCAGAATTTACTTTTCTGGTTTGACAGAAAATTAGATTGCACAAAATTTAATTGAAGAAAGAGAATTAATTGGTAAATTTGATAATGTCATCTTCGTTTCTATGCAAATATTTTCTACTACTCAATGATTCCAAACAACTCTTGCCTGTTGATGTTTTACTTTTGGGGTGAATAGAATTTCTAATGCCAAAAAATTTCCCTTGTAATTTAGATTTTAGACATATAAGGAAACTACTTCACTATTTAGAGACTAATTTGGTGTTGAATATAATAGGAATTCAAGTAATTATTTGTGCTTATTGGGCTAATTTGGTAAGTTACTACTTTCTGTTGCTTTATTTGTTCATTGCTTCATAGAGTTTGAGTTATTAATCTTTTCTGACGTTTCATAACCCTGTTATTAGAGGAGAATAAGTAATGAAGGATTCTCTTAGATCAATTGTCAGGCTATTGAAGTCTCCTGGAGTGTTGAATAAGATAGTCCTAAATATTAGCTTCCAAATATTTTTCAATAATTTTAAGCTTGACTGAAATAGAATTGTTATGGTTCTTTTAATATCTTACTGGCAAATAAATCTAAGCAGTCACTCACTTTCTCGTTAAGTGAGCAAAGCATGTCAAAGACAAACAGTAATTGAGATGTTTGGTGCATTTACATTGGTTGCAAAGGTAGAAAGATTTAAATTCTTATTCATCTATGCTGGTGGGTGTTTCAGATCCACCTTCTTCAC